TAAGGACAATTAATTGAAAAACTATTCAATGCTCTTATAACCTCAAGTGTAAGGTTAAAGAAAATTTCATGCTGCTTATGTCAACAGAAAACTTATATGAGATAAATTTTTGACTTATTTTGTTAAGTATATCGTAATGATAGTAATGGAGAAACATTTCCGTTTTACTAGATCGTTGCTTTAAAAGACCATACGTTATGAAACAGACCTATAGGCACGCCAATATCTGAGATATACAATTACAATACGCTAATTGGACAACTGTCGACAATCGATTTATATTATTAGCTTAAAATATTACAGCAAATAAGCTTTAGTTATTATACCTATGTTTGGTTACGCATTGTCACGGCCTGTTAAAGTCTGCTTTAGTTTCTCTTGATTTCGAGGTTTTATCCAATCATAAATTTATTAGGTCAAGTTAATATCTCCGTATCGATTTAATTTTTTCCTAAATGATGATATTATTTTTCAGACTTTCTTCCAGTGAAGAATTTGTTCAGCGAAGTTAGCACCTCCGTATTCATTTATTTTTGTCCGATATTACAATATACCTTTCACTTTAATTTAGTACTAGAACTGATTTCATTTATGATATAATTTTATGAGATGGAGATTACAATAAAAATTTAGAAATTTTGGAATATATTGAATTGAAACTTCTTTCACTGAAGCATTAACGAAAATTTATCCTTTGGTGGGAATTTGTTTTTGATTCGAGGTTTTTCAATCAGATATTCATACGCAAAAATTTTCGTAAGCTCTTTATACATTAGAGATAAAACGATACGAATCCTCCAAATTAATATCAATTTTTTTTTTATTGAACACTGTTTCTATAGAAGAGTTAGCTCTTAAAATGAAGTTAAATGTAATATAAGTACATTGCAATTATAATAAATCTCAGTGAGTAAGCATAAACACCTTAGGCTCGCGCATGCAACAAAATTCAAAGCTCTAACTTCTTAAGGCTCCAGCCCACTATTCATTTGGAGTGTAGTTTAGGTTTTCAACGTTGAACGCAATTGTACCAAATTCGTTTGGTGCTTGTTAGTCGTATGTGTTTCACTCGATCAGCTGGAATTGGAATACAAGCTTTTGATGAAAATCTATTTATATATATATATATATACATGTCATAGGGAAAGCATACTGGATTCTATACTTATACTATTTAAGAAGCAAAAAGGCATAATTTGAAGAAATGCGTTCGTCTGAAATCCGGCACATATAAGGGTATCCGAAAAGGAAAGAATATTTAAATTATAAATTTTAAATCGCGCTACAAATATTTATTAAGATAAATGAAAAGCTGAACCAAAATATATTGGTTCTGTTGAAAAATATATCAGTTTGAAGCGGCTATGCAGGTCGGTGAGCAGAAAACAAATATCGTGGTTGCTTTATATTCGAAGTTGGACAGTGCTCGGAGAATCATAGCTGAAATTACACACACCAAGCAAGGAGCCGTGAAGAGTTCTAGGTGCTAGTTAGTAATTTAATAACATAACTAAGTATGCAACCATATCATGAAATGTAATAAAAGAAGAAAAAATGTGGTCACTAATATATTTAGTAATGGGGGATGGGTAGTGGTAAAAAAGAAGAAGTTGCAGGTATCGAAAACGTTTTTACGTTTTACGAACTGTATCAGGCTTTTTCATTATTGGGGCCGGCTGTAACTATCCGAGGGGAGAAATGGCATGGTTTAGAGATTTATCTGGGATCGCACCATTGAGAGATTGGCATAGATTGATTAAATTATTTTGATTAGTTTTCCAGTGTTACAAAGGGTATGCTAATGAATTAATAAATACTTAACCTAGTTAACATAGTTAGGTTAATTACTTTGAGTTAAATTACAACTCTTGGGTATGTGTCCGTTTTACTCACTTTTAATAGACACATCACGGGCTGTAGAACTCGAATTATGAGGTTTTATTACAATCTATAACAAATTCTTTCATAATTGGTTGGTTTTTCCTACATTTCATTAATCAATTGAATCTGAAGACAGGGTACTTACTTTGTGAAGCTTAGTTAGTTAACGAGTTCAATTATCGATATATATAGATGGGCAACATTTAAATGGAACCAACGTGTAAAACAAAATGTCAAAAACAGGACAATTGAATGCGTTGCACAGCACTCCGAGCATGTACGTAGCTATGGTTTAATTTAATTAATAGAGAATGGATAACGAAGAAAAGAATAAATGACTATATATTTGTTCCTCCAGAAAAATTCAAGTTTAAACAAGTAGAAGCGCTATAGTAAGCCACGGCATGCTGCAGTTACTCATACAACTAGTTTTTCTAGATAAGGCGCTACATATGGGAAGTTGCCGAGCAGGTGTCTGAACCGATTGAATCATTTTTTTCAGCGTCATGTCACTGTATCGCATTTCATTAAAATATATCAAAATTTGCCGCCTGTGGGCTGAACACAAGAAAACAATATAAGCAGGTGAATACGGACGGACGGACATGTAGACAGGTAAGCTGAAATCTGTTCAGAAAGTAATTTTGATTCGATCGGCATAATAAAAGTTGGGTTTATCTCAAGTCCTTCTGCGTGTTGTTTACATTCGCGCAAACTTAATATTGCCGCGTACCACAGTTGGTGCATTGTAAAAAAATCCTCTTAATATAATAAACAACGTCTTTAACAGATCAATTTGTTTAATTGAGCAATTTGTTCGTTTAATTGCATGCTTTTCCTTTCCCTCAATTCTTTTACCTGCGTAAATGATTCGTTTAAGACCTTAAGAGAGGGAAATATATTTCGCTTATCATATCATTTTCATAAGCTGCTAAGGTTGAGCTAAAGTATGTCCGAGTCCGCTAAAATATGCCTGAGTCCATATCTACCCTAAAACACGTTTTTTGGCGTTGTGATGGATCACTAGTCATAAAAGAAAACGACGCTTACTCTTATTAAAGTTGCTTGTATTTTGTATCAGTTCTGGTATTCTGAAGAAATAGCCGTAAGAAAACTCTCTCTTTTATTATAAAGTAGATTTGCTAAATCCCATAACCAACAAACAAATAATTTTTTGTGATTTGTGTCATGTGTCTGTGATGTTGCTGAGAATACGCTTATAAAAATCGTAATTTGGAATCGCGTTTAGTTTACTTAATGTTTTTCCTTAGTTGCAACATAGCTTTAGAGTTCTAGTTGAGCGCAGTAAATAATTTTAAGGACCGATCTAAGTAAACGTCTCCGCGTTTGTCCCTCTGTAACTTTGTGTAACATAAATAAATAAAAAATAAGAAATGTAATGTTAGGTGTCATGAGGTGAAAAGTTCTGGAATTTGTTACTAGCTCGTTTCTGGTAGCTTGTTTCCTAGTTCAGGGCGTGATATAGCATCTAGGACAATCTGTCTGCTTAATTGAAAACCCTTCTGCGCTTTAGATTTGAAGCCACGAGCACTGTTAGCCCAGATCGTCTGCCTACTTGGGCATTTGGGAGGTAAATATTGTTATTTTTATAAAGAGAAAAAATAATAAATACTTTGTAAAGGTAAAATGACCTTGAAGTTTTTTTAGTGAATATACTATTGTTAGGATCCTAAGCTGGGGCTTTTAAATGTTATAAACCACATGAGAGATCTAGTATACCCGGCGCTTTAAATGGTAGAAAATTTATTATTTATTGGCAGCCTCGAGACTTTTCAGCCTTTTTACAGTACACTATTATTTTTTTGTGTTCTACTTGGACAAAACTGCAAGAGTCTATCATAAATCCTTATTTTCGGATTGTTATGCTCTATTTGGCCACACATATATATATATATATATATATATATATATCTTATATATATATCTTATCGACTGAGCGGAAACATATTTTCATGTAGTTGTGTTTTTAATGTATATTTTATTGTATGTACAAGTTTTTAATTCTCAAGTTTGCCTATATATAGATAAGTATAATATACATATATATGTATATATACATATTTGCACACATACACTTTTATAAATATTTGTTTTCATGTTTACCATATTGTGGTTGTCATGACATTTTATTGACTTTTTATCATTGACTTACTCTATGTTTATTTGATTGTATGTATAAGTTTGCTGGTGCATGTAAATATAATGGAGTAGTTCCATGAGTCATTCTCTACGTTGTTTTATTGACTGTTTTCATGTTGTTGTGATTATCATAAAAAATTGGACAAAGTATTTGTCAGAAGTTAAATCCTGTCAACATACAGTAACAACACAAACAACAAGGCTTAGATTTTTCTGAGTTTGCTCCTTTTCTTCGTTTTTGATTTTAGTATTCCGAAGCAATTTAATAGGTTGCTGTAAAAAATTTTTCAAAATATGCTTTAGTTTGCAGCTATCATCAAACGATATCTAAGTCGAAACTGGATCTATGGTATTCAAGCAGAAACATCTTCTTTCTATCTTCCAAATCTTTTCCGCCTCTGTTTTAATGTTTGACTCTCGGAGAATTCGAACAGACGATACAGCAGACGGACATTGTTAAAGTATTTTAAAGACTCGTTTATGTTACACGAATGAAATCTCTCTATTTACATATACTCGTTACAAACAAAAAAATAAACTAAATGTACCTTTACTATGCTAGAGTGAATGAAGAAATTCATAATAAAACGCCGACAGGCTACTGACTATTCATTGTATGTGTGATTAAAGTAAAATTAAATTTATTCAGGATATTCGTTTTTGTTCCTTTCTTTACTTATTGTAAAAAATTCATAATCTATGAAGGTTCGCTTTTAGTTTTATTCCGTACAGACGTTGTAGTTAAAAAATTCATTATTTAATTAAAATATTTGTAGTCGACTTTTATTAATCAAAAGTAATTTAGTAAAATATGACAAATAGCGAACATTTTTTTTAATTAAAAACGACATTTTATAGATGCTAAACAACAATAACCTACGTTAGCAAGAATGTTTTCCTTTCAGTACAAAAAAAAAAAAAAAAAATTAGCTAAGCTAAAGTTCATAAATCGGCTAAAGGTTTAAAAACACCAAAAAAAAAAAAAAACAATTCATTTGAAAAAATGCTTAAGGCAAGCGCCTTGTGACGAACAATTGCCTACAATTTTTTTAACTGGCTTAACTAAACGAAAACCAGGTCTTTACGCTGTGCTTGCATGCCAGACGCACTTGATAAGCGTATTTTATAAAATCTACTCGATTTTAGATTTTGGTTAGTAAACGCTTTCTAAGTCAATTTGCGCTTGCCTGTCCATTTGTCCGTCTGCCTGTCTGCTTGTTCTGTTTTTTTTGTTTTCCACCCGCAGGCTGGAATTTTTTTAAAACATTTTCATGAAATTTGGTACAGTGGAGTATTCTGGACAAACGAACGCTAATGAAAATGGTTCGGTTCGAAATATCAAAAATCGCGCAAAATCAAATGTGTTAACATCCTGTTCATAATACTTTAGTTACATTAAAGGTTTTAAAAGGACCGACACAATAACAGGAAACTCTTAAAATTTCTCTGTTTCAAAGAGTTAAAGAATTTCGATTCTTGATTTATTTGATGCAGCCAGACACAAGCGTTTCATTTCTAGACGTCTTGGACCGTTTTCCAGTGGACCAATGAAAGAGGAAGACTTTTCGTTCGAAAACTTTACGGCGCGGCTTTTATCTCTTACTACATTAACAATGAATTCTCATAATCCATTTAGTATAGTAATTTGTTCATTTGTTAATGTTGTTAACATGATTTCACATTCATTCAAACCCTACTTTATTTCATCGAGAATAGGAAATTGTTGGTTAAAAACCTTCTATAATAAGGTTTTTGCTCAAATATTCCTCCTGAAAAGAAATTGTAAATATTTAACGAAAGGCTAATGGAATTTTGATGTTTGCTAATTAAGTAAAAGGTCACATTATAACTTTATTTTGACTGTTTTCACCGAATTTGAGTTATTAACGCATTTTTTAAAAAAGACAAGAAATCTTATTTAGTCAATAATTTGCAAAAATTCAGCTGCAGGAAAGATTGAAATGGAGTAAGCAAACTTAAAATCACATATGGCAATACAATCTAAGAAAAAAGAGGTACAAAGTATTTGAAAGGTCCCCACGTTTTATAAACACACACATATTACAAACCAGTGTTCGCAAGCTCACAGCTTAATGCAATCGGGCATACCTGATCGCAGCTATAGTAAGTGTTTAGCCGATAAAAATATAACACTTATTGATTGCACACACACACACACACACACACACACACACCTAGTAGGCTGCGGATACAGCCGACTTCTTTCTATTTCCTCAATTCTTTCTGATCGCCGCTGTGTCTTACGCGGTTAGGAAACATCCCTTGAGTGATTGATTGATCATTACAAAAACAAAATAAAAAAAAACCAGAGGTAACATTATAGTAGGCCTAAGCCGGCTATTAAATACCCTACACCATATTGCTTAACTCAACGCTTATTTTTGTCGTAGAACACAAAAATTATGCTCCGCTTTTATATCAACCCATTAATATGGAACCGTACATTAAAAATTACACCTCTTTGCAAAACATTCTTACTTTCCGCAAGAATGACTGCGCCCGATGGTTCAAAATTCAGCTCAGTTAATTTTTGTATCATATTATTATTATGATCTGATTTTGAAGCATTGAAAATTAGATCTCTTTGTTATATGAACTTTAGTTTTCGTCATATTAGAGGGGGTTTATAATTTGCCCCAGCCAATCCAAAGCTTCCACACCAATTTAGAATGCCGAAGTATTACCACTCTTATATATAACGACTTTTTTAAATAAGGAGTAGAAAAAATTGACCGACCCAAACGGTTTCCGTGCATTTACTAAATTTATATCAAAATATTTCAAAAATGACCTATAGCTTAACCACAGATTTAGGTGGATAGACTGTCTCAAACTAATTGAGACAATAATTTTGAATGGAACGGGATAATAAAAGGTGGGCCTATCCTAAACCCTTCTGTGTGCTACATATGCCCGCACACTGTATCCTGTAAGTGGTGTTGGATATAAAAATCAGAAGGGAAAGAAGGGACAGAAAAAAGAAAAGACGATCGATCATAAGTGTTCGGGCGATACACATCAAACTGAGAGGAACGTAACGCGATGTTCATAATTAAAAATTTTACTTTAAATTAAAAGTAAAAAAAATAAATTTAATTAATCCATAAGGAATTTCTTATAGAGTTTACGTTGTCAGCATTATCCACATTTTTATAATTGCGTTCACCTTGACTAAGTTTTATGCAAGGAAAGTTCCTTGAAAGTCCGATTACCTTATTACCATTTTATAAAACTGATGTCGACCAAAGTCAATAACATCATTTAACAAAGAGGAAATAAGAAGCAAAACAAATAAACAAATGTGAATTAGTCCTTTGCAGAACACTTGGCCTACCCATGCAGTGTGTAATATAGAGATATGCCATCGCATATTGTTAAGCCGCCAAACGTGTAAAAGTGATAAATTGAAGAAGTTTTTGTATAGTATGTATGTGTATGTGTTTTGCTATGTTCAATAAATCAATGAACTAATAGCAAAATTCGGTCATAACGACCGGACTTCGACTTGACCATCACATCTTTCTTTAACGGTTTTGTTGATTTAACTTCATAGCATTGTATAAGTGCTTTATGACTAAATTACTTAATAGAGTGCAAGAGGCGTAAATAATGCAGTGACCTAAAAGATCGTCCGCCTTGTTTTATACCGATCGATTTAGAATCATTTACTAAATCTTTTACGTACTGATGTCCTTTGCCCCAAAAATGAAAGCTATTGAGAATGGTTTGCATAGAATCATATTTTGGAACCCTTCTTATTCAAATCATTATTTTGGGAAATCGTTATATGAACTACTATAGGGAAGTGTAGAGGTACGTTTTTTCGCTTTCGAATATTTTAAAATCATTTTTGGTTTTATTTTTATGAAAATTTTCTTTCCGCCAGCTGGCGAACAATTGTCACTTTTATTTCGATACGCGCTGCTCTTATCTTCGTATTAGTCATGGCTACTCCTTTGCGAGAGTCGTCTTTCTCAATTAGTGCAGCTTGCTTGTTTTAACTGTTATGTCTACCCTTTCAATCAAATAGGATTTTCAGTAGTTAAGTTCCTTATATGTCTTTCTTTAGTACGAAACAAGTTGAGCGAACTGAGAATTATTATTATTTTACTCACTAACTTAGTTATAGGAAAAAAAGGGGGAATAACTGCATATTTACCTCCTTATGGAACCATCAAGTAAACTTAAAAGCTTGTCGGATGAAAGACAACGCTTTAGATATATGATAATAATCTTTTAATTCCATTTATATACCGATTAAAGAAAAATTTATTTTGTCTTTTTTATAATAGATTCTCTCCATTAGCAACTGTATGTCTGGCCTTCAGGCATGTCTTTCTGGATTAATAAAGTTTTGCAATTGAATTTTAAAAAATATCATTATAACATCTTCAACACACAAAACTGTGGTTAGAAAAGAAGAGCAGAAGAACAAAAACAATAACATCGACTCAAAAAGTTATCGACTGCGACAGCGACGAGAACGGCGACGCCGCAGACAGCTTGACTTTAGATCAAACGTTACACACATACAAACACTCATACAAACATACACAAAAAAAAAACACTCGCTCGCATACACACAGATACACACATACACTCACACATTAACATTCCGAAATTATTACCAGCAGCATTGACATTACATCAATAGCAGGTTATGTCGTTGCAGTCATAACCAAGTAAAACTACTACTACACTAATAGCAACAACAAGAACAATAAAAATTTTATCAAAATAAACAGCAAATAACCTAAAACGTTGTCAGTTACAGTACAAAAAAAAATAAAAAAAAAAAAAAATAAGAAGGAATAAGACAGAAACAGAAACATAACACAAGCAACGTTACTCTCACGACTTTAACAGACTTAATTGCACTCAATCATCGTGCCAGTATTATTATCTTCGCCGTCATCGTCATCGTATCAAAATCAACGTCAACACCATTATCGGTATACCTTTTTGTAACCTGAAACAACTACTAAACTAAAACATACAAATTCGGAGGTCAATTTCAGTTAGAGTCAAACGATTATTTGCAAAACATCCGGCTATCAACAGCCAACAAGCAACAACAGCTCGCCCACTCCGATACCACAACAGCAGTGGCAGCCAGCAGCAGCGACAACAGCATTAACGGCAAAATAACAATAACAACAGCAACAACAATAATAAAAGCAAAACAACAGCTGCAATATGAGGAAAGCAAAGGATAATATGATGCTGATGCACGGTTTCATATTAGTAACTATTTTGGCAACAGCAAAAAGTGCCGAAGCGGAAATTACTATGGAGGCAGCCTTTCAAGGTACATAATTGAATTTTAATTTGAATTTTCTGTTACCTACACGCATCACATACACGTTTCCCCCAAATGAACAGTTTACCTCACACTTCTGCTCAATCAAAAGCTTTCTACTCCGTCTTTCTCTCTTTCGCTCACTCTCTCTATCGCACTACATTTTTAAATTCCATAATTGTGATTTCCTTTTAATTACCAAAGAGAAAATGAACGAGTAGTATATCAATTGGGATGTGGGTGTGCGTGTACGTATGCGTGTGTGTAAATGATTATGTGGGTGTTTTGTTTTCTATTTTTCTTCTTTTTTTTTTGTTTTTTTTGTTTATGATGCGTTGTGTGTGCATTGGTATTGACATAGATTTATTTCTCTTTTCATTCTTTTCATTCTATATGCACAACCACATGCTTGCACACACTGTTAGCTAGGGTTTAATGATGTGTCAATAATCAATTAGGATATTATTATAATTTACTTTTGCTTTTTCTATCTTGCTTTTTTTTTTTTTTTTGTTTTTTTTTTTTGCTTTCTGTCAATGTCAATACTTTTGTGCGTTGATAAAGAGCACTTGATGTTAAATAAATGCAATTAAAATTCGTTTCTATGTGTTAATGCGCATATATATATATATATATATATATATATATACACATGTGTGTGCGTGTGTGTGGGTGTGTGCGAGTGTGTGAATGTGTTTTTATATCTACGCATGCAAGGATGCGAACGGTGGGGATGTGTGCCTGTGATAATTGATTTTCTATTCGTTAGAAAATATGCTTATGTACATATACGCTTACATATACGTCCGCAGAGGGCGGGAGCGGGGCGGATTTAGTTTAGTTGCTTTTTGTATCAGTTGAAAGAAAAAGAACTTCGACGACTACATTCGGAGATTAACACTTTTTTATGCTCAGTTGATATTCACTTTGCAACTTGGACTGTTTTAATAGATTCCGCTCGAGAAACCTTCATTTATAAAAATATAAAAATAGTCGACAAGCTACGCTACTACCATCCTTGAGTGTTGGAATTTTGCTTGAATAATCTAGAAATACTTTCCAGGATTTCTAACGAGCCTTATGCGAAGTACACTGAGTCCACTCATTGGCAGTATCCATGTACACAAGTTGTCGTCTTCGATTTTTCCGCTTTTTATAAATACCATTGAAGAATAGGTGTACACCCTTTTTTTTTTTTTTTTTTTTTTTTTGGTAAAATATGTAACGCCTAAAACGAAGCTTTAAATATCCTTGATTGGCGTGAAATTCTGAGTTGATTAACGCATAGCTGTGTGTCTGTGTGGTATTTGTCGTTGGCATTCTCCTAGTCACAAAAATGACGATATCGGCTTCGTGCGGGTCGGTATCGAAAATGGGCCAACTTGGTCAGAGCAGAAGCCCACGGTGCAGCATAAACTGAACGCAACTCCATTTTTCTTAACAAAAGTTTGTGGGTTTTTGTTCGTTGCTCAGAAATTATAAAAGTTAGAAAGATGAAATGCTCCTCATTTACTTTACGAAACACTCTACTCTTTACATACAAAAATGCAAAACATCGGCCATGTCCACATGAAGTTACAAGTGATTAATTGTACTTCGCCACTTTTTTTGAGGTTTTAGGCTTATCTATCATAAATCAAACAAGGCTACTTTATAGATTCCTCAGTTGGCGATATATTATATGCTTAAAAATGGGTTGATTCTATAATGAATATTATAAACACCGCGAACTTGTGGATTTCGTTATTCTTAATAACACCAGCGAGATGGGTCCCAAATAAAAGAACTTGGAGAGTAGAATGCGAAAAACATTGTGGCGGGTATGCGAGATACGGCCCTCGCTGAATCTGCCTTCTTTGTTTCATGTTCGTTTGCGAGTAAAATGAAATTTCTCCAAGCGAAAGTGTAGTCTTTAAACTACACCCGCAACGCTAGATATTACCCCATAGAAGTGTACACTAGATAACCTTTAGAAGCTTTAATTAAATCGAGTTCTGTCCCAAAAAAAAGCACGAAAACGTGTCATGAGTTTCGTTTTCTGATGGCGAAGCGTGACAGTCGATAAGAAATGGAGACGGTACAGCATTCCAAAGGTTCACGTTAGAGGAATCATTAAAATCGATGGAAAAGCCGAAGATCCCTGGGCTAAGATCGAGCAATATAAGTTGTGTCGCGTATAATGAGGCGCTTCACACAAATTAAACCTTCACTAGGGAACGCTATCAAAATCAAAGCTGTGGAAATTTTGGTCATCATTAAAAGAAAACGGCCAGAGTATAGGAACAGATATTATAAATTGCTTGTTAAGCAGTACGATGCTCGGCCTCAGATGTGAAACTCGACGGCTAAGCCGAATATCCATAACGCCAAGATTTAAGAATATCAATTGGATGTAGCGTATAATGAGTAGCTTTATCCAAGCCCCCATTAGAGAGAGAGAGAGAGAGAGAGATACCAATAACAGCTGCTGCGATTGCTTTCATCATTAAAGAAAAATGACCGTAATAAGCGAATAGATATTAAAAAATAATTGTTCTTTAGGATGATGCTCGGCTTTAAATGCGAAGCTTGCCTACGAAATGTTAGTAGCACTAAGCTGGGCCGTGCTGCCATCCTTTCCCTACTAACTAGATATTGCTCCTGACGATTGGCGGCGCAAATATTAACTGATGGAGTATGGTTTTCTTTTCTCATAACGAAATTGAATCTTTTTGTTGACGGTTTTCGACACGAGATGCATACTCTGTTAGAAAAGGAGGATGCATATATCGCTAATCACGCAGAAAAGAATGCCTGTTATCCCGCTCTCTCAATATAGACGAGAAATCCACATCTACGCATAGCGCATATAAGATATTGCCTTAAAAATCATATTTATTCAAATATAAAATGTCTTAGGATAATTGTATGGTTACGAATGACTGAAATCTCTAATTTCTAAACTTCGGAAAGCAGTCTTTCACAAAATAATAAAGTTAAACATACATCAGGGACTAGTCATAAATTTCAGCTTACATTTAGGGTTTTTTATTCTTAACGTATAGTTATTTTTTAATTTATTTATCACTTTTACCTACTAAGACACCCGCGAACTCTCGACGCTTTTTCGCCCCTTCTGCTAAAGAATGCATGAAGAGGACTTGCAATTACGGAACAATATATGCTGAAAAGCAAGTAGATAAGGCACTGCCAGAACTTGGCTATGTAACTATGCAAAGATTCATAGATCGGCCTCTCTAAGATGTCCGGATTCGCTAAAGTGGAAGCGTGGATCCCTTTAAACGTTGTCTGCAAACGTAAATTGTCGTGAAATTTATAGGATGCCTGGCGTATTGAGCAATTTACTCCTCTTACAATGGATAAATTATTTTTTTAAATTGGATAAAACGTTAATGCAATTTATTATGCTTGTCAACGCTTGCATTCAAGTTCGTAACTGCGTGTGCCCTTTGACATGAATATATTTTAATATATGAAGGCTGAATTTCAATAATGCTTGAGGATTTTCATAATTAAAGAAGTTTTCATATATTGCTATAATTAAACGCAGCGTGTTCTTGCTGGTATTAAATTAATTCGCAATAAAACGAGAAAAACACTTCATTGTCGCTGTCTAGACTGTTAATCGTGCTCGCATTCGGTTTTCTCTCTTTCGATGGTATTTCAAAACAGTTTCTTAACATTTAATTTCTACGATTGACGTCAAGTTCATCTTTTTCTTAATTTCAATTAATAATATCTTATTATATTATGTAAAGTTAGTTGGATTTTTATTTTTATTTTTTTTTTTGTTTTATGACCAATCAGTCAAGGGATGTCCCCTGTTCGTATAACAGGGCGATAGGAAAGAAGTAGGAAGAGAAAGTAATAGAGAGGTGATGGCTGCAGGCTAGGATGTTTGTGGCCAATCGGTATGCCTTTATCGACTGAACTGTCACTGCAGCTATAACTAAAGCAAATTCCACGGCACTGAGATTTGAATCCATGAAGACCGACTTGGTAGTTGTGATTCTTATCGTGATCCTATCTATCTTATCATCCAATAGTAGAACTACGTTTGGGCGTTTTGTCTAAACTTACTTCTACCGAAATGGATTTATTTGCCCAGAAATCGTTGCGAAATCGAAAATTAAGATGGGTTGATAAAGTCTCGTGCAAGCATTTCGTGATCGATTAGGAGTTTTAATCTCCTAGTTATTCTAACGCACGTTAGTATGCACTTCACCCAGTTATAAATACGTTAGAAGTAAACTGGAGTTATAATTTTATGGCTAATCGTGACCAATTTTCGGGAGCAATTTTCGAATCAATCCTTCAGATAATTCTGGCAAATATTTAAATGGCAGGTTTTCCATCTGAGTGGTCGATCAGACAAGAATAGCCTGACTATCAATTCAGAGTTTACGGGTTCAAATCTCACTTGTGGTAAAGCTTATTTTGACCATAGCTATAGTGAGGTCTTAGTCGATTAAGGCGTAACACTTACCAAATGGGTACCGACGAACGAACTAGTCTGCGGCCACCACTTCCTTACCTCTTTTTGTTCCCGCAATTTATTCTGATCGTCAGCGTGGCGGATAGAGGATATGGCCTGAGTCATATTAGAAAAACAAAAAGAAAATGCACGAGTTAATGTTTTTCTGGGAAGATTCAGTCTTCTCGAAAGTTATTTATCCCTAACAAAATGTATTTCTCCAGAAGATTCCTTGAGGATTGCTTTGATTTAAAAGATTTATTCAAATACGAATATTATGATAGTTAGATGGCGAACACATAATGCAAGATAAATGTTCTCACTAGAGGTTATGTTAGCGTAGACCGCATCTGCTCAAAGTATCTCATGTGGCCCATGCAAAAACTTGCAAATTATGTGTGAACTTGGAGAGAAATATGAAACCAAATATTTCAAAACAGGTTATCATTATTAGTAGCATTTTGGTGCTTAAGCAAGTGTATTAAAATTAATGAAAAAAATCAATTTTACACTGCATACATAAAACAATAAATAT